TACCCAGAGCCATTCTCTTGGCCATTTCTTCTGCCTGGGCCCCCATGGCCGCCCCTGACCTTTCATGTCAGAGCTGATGTCCCTCCTCAGTATGTCCCCCCGCCCACTCCACAGGGGTAGCCCGGCTGCTCTCTGCCACCCCCTTCCAGGTCCCTTCCTCACAAAAGCTGTCGTCCTCCTCCGGCAATGCTGTGGCTGCCTTCACCGATCTGAACCGCAGTGGAGTCGTGAGGACCCCGAGGGCAGACACCAGGCCCGGCATATTCTCTGCTGGGGGTAGGGAGTGCCGTCAAAAGATAGTTATGGGACCGATGCGGAACGTCCCTCCAGTGGGTGTCAAACGCATCCGATGTGAAAGCCCAATTCCTGCCGTGGCCTGGACGTCCGCATGTCGGCTGCCTCCGCCTCCCTCGCCGGCCCCGTCCTCGTAATCTTTATTTCTCGCTTATGATGCTCCAGGCTCTGGTTTTCTGTCCTTCAAGTTCAAACCCAAGCTCAAGCCCTTTGCCTATGTCATTTCCTCCTTCTCGCCCCACTTCCCCGATTCCTGTTTCCCAGCCTCTTTCCACAGTGGCTTCTCATCGCCCGAGCTCAACCCCCAGTGCCAGCTTCCGAGAGAGCCCTTTGCTGGCCGCCCTGTTGGGTGTTGCCCCTGCGACTCCCTGTCACAGTGCCCTGCTCTGTTTTATTCAGAGCATTTACGAGCCCCTGAGCTTATATGTTTCTTCTTTAGCTTGTTGTTGGTCTCCTGCAAGAGAATGCAAACCCCGAGAAATCAGGGAATCCACAGCACGAGAGCCCATGCCGAACAGACAGCAGCCTCGGTGTTCACCACAGAACCCCACCCCCTTCCGCCGGGTTAGCTTTCAAGGGCTGGTACCTGCGGCTCCCTGGGCCTGCCATTGAGGCTGGGTTGACTGTCATTCAATAGCCAATCCCAGTGGGCTGTCGCCAGTCTGGTGGCTTGCTCTGGAGGAAGCAGAGGCATCTGTCTCCTCGGAACGCTCATCTTCCAAGAGCCAACCACTGCAGGGCCACGCTGTGCCGTTCACTTCACCCGATAGTCCAGGGCTGCTTAGTGTTACCTGTGTTGGGCCTTCACCTGTCTCATAAACACAGTGGGCTCGGCTCTGAGAACAACAGGAAGTTGTACATGCCACCACATTTCGTAGGTAATTTCCAAGGGCTCACTGATGGGTGGGGGACTGTGACCCCTGCCCTGATACAGGACGCCGGTGCTCCATGCAGGGGGCGGGCCCCACACTGCTCAGGGGCTGCCTGGATGGCCAGTGGCATGACGGGACCGTGCCAAGAAGGGACAGGACAGAAGGCGGGACGGGAGACGAGGAAGGGCTAGAGGACTGGATGGAGATGTTGAACAAAACCAGGGAGGAGCTGACGGGGAAGCTGTGAGTCCTTGCGCCTCCGACTGGATGCCAAAGACTGACCATCCCGGTGGGTCCTGGGCCCCGGGCTCTGGTCCTGACCCTCTGGGAAGGGCAGGATGTCTTCCCTCACAGAAGTAGGAGCGTTCTAGAAATCGAGAAGCCAGTTCAGAAATAATTGTAAACATACGTAGATGAGTGTCCACTCAGATGATATCGGGCCAGGTGGCAGTGAATTTATTTCTGCCACCATGCCAGGGCACCCGACGCTGTGACCACTGTGTTCTCTGGGGAACGCCCCAGGGTCCTTGCGGGTTCTCCCCGCACCCTGCCCGTCGTCCATAAATGCTCACGGGCTTCTCGCGGAGCCTGGAGGAGAATCCTCTGAGTAAACCGCATCCCGACCTGGAGGAACACCTGGCAAGGTGACCTTGTAGGCATTCACCAAGGTCAGACTGAGAACCACTCTGCTATGGGTTAAATTATGATGGAGACTGGTGCCCTCAAAACCTGATTGGCGGACTCCACTTGCTCCTGTAACGAAACACAGGGGCATTCCCAGCGCCATGCGTTTTTTTGGCACATGTTTGCTAAATGTCTCCCCAGAACCAGAGCACTGGGGAGATGGGGGAGGTACAGAGGCCCATCCTCACGGCCCAGAAGGGGTGGAAACCATGTGGGTGAATTTCTCCTCAAATTCACTCTTAGAATTTCCTGCATGCAAATGAAAGATTCCAATTCTAATTCTCTTTCACCTACGGCAGTGGCTCCTCTTAACTTCCTTCCCTGTCTGTCATGTATTAAAAATAAGAGGGATTTTAGGAGCATACTTTGTTGGGTAATTGAACTCCTAGGAACCTTGGTTTCTCCATCAGCAAAGTGGAGATTGTAGCCTCGCAAGGAAGCTGTTCAAGTTGTGAAAACTTAGCGGTAATGTCCGCAGTCTGAAGGAATCAGGCTCAACAGATTGTACCTACAGGTCCAGTCCACACTCTTCGGGCCGCAGCGTTCGTCCCGCCCACAGGCAGTGGTCAGTAGCCGCGTCCTGGGAAAAGGTCTCTACTGCCTGCTCATTCACCTTCCTTACTTCATCCTCTCTGAAGATTTCGTTTTGGGCCTCCAGGTAATTCTTCCTACGACACACTTTTGGGCTCCCCAGCTTAAAACAAGCAAGCCCTTTGCTCAGGGGGAGTGGGCAGTTCCATGTGCTCCCAACCACACCTTTCTGGTCTTTTCCATCCTGCCTGCAGAGGGACCCGTCCTCTTGTCAGACACATTTGCCCCACTTCCTGGTCCAATGAGCCCTTCAGACCCACCTCGGAGTCCACGTCTTGTCACTGCGACCGGATCTCCTCCTCGACCCGTACACGGCACTGAAGACTCGGGATTCTCCGGTAGCACGTATGAGATTTGGAAACATCCTTCGGCGCCACTCGAAGGTAATAATTAAAAGCATAGGTGTGGAGGCCAGACAATGGCGGTGATTAAATGAGTAGACCATCTTGCAAATAGCACATAACCGTTGGAAAGCGCCCTATAAGTCCCTATTTTCATTGGCGGTATCCTTGCACACATTTCCTGTTTCCCCACTGGCACGTTCCTAGGTGCTCACGAACTTCGGTATGGATGGAACGCTTTGCAATGCTTTGCCCAGTAAATTCCTGTTGGATTCCGGTTAGAATCACGTGCTCACAAACCGATTTCTTACAGGCTCTGTGGTAACTTGTTCTCAGGCTTTAGGGTGTGAGAACTCCATTGTGTAAGGGACATGCTCGTTCACACTCACTACGATTGACGTGCGATCTGAGGATACAGCTTTTTACTCAACTCCTTACTAGTGTTGAGTAAAAAAACAGTTTACAAGTCAGGGTGTGTGTGTGTGGGTACAACAGTGGTTATGAAGTCATATGACATTTTAAACATAATGAATACCCCCATTGCACACTCTCGTGCCAATGAGCTCCAAGTGGCTCGTTAAGAGCTATTGTGAAATCCTTCCCTAAGTGCCCCTCATCTCGCCAAACCTGTTTTTCGTCATGATTGGAAGGAGGCGGGGCTGATGAGAAGAAGAACATTTGATTTGAGGCTCTCAAAGCACCTGGCAGTTCCTTTGGCTAGGCTGCTATCCAGGAAGAGCGCTGGCTACACAGCAGAATGTGTTATATTCCAGAATATTCTGGCCTTTCCTAAGTCACTTGTCTCGGGGCCATGGGGACTGCCCTCCCAGACAGATTTCCCTCTCACCTCGCCTGCTGGGACAATGGGAGGCCAACTCGTGGTCCGCCTGGACCAGTGGTATGGGATCTTAACTATGGAGTTCTTACTAGTGTTTTTTTTCCCCCTGATCCTGTTTAATTTTTTCATTCTTTCTTACCTGTCTTGAATGTGAGCCATCTTGTTGGCACCTGTGTTCCTTCAAACCCTTACGTCGCTTTTTGAACAGGATGGGCAGTGAGTGGGTGTATACCTAGGTTTTACTCTGCCCGCATTTAGGAAACTGGGGCTGGGGCTGGCGTGTGGCTGAAGCTCAGGCCCAACGGGCACACTTGGGTTTGAGCTCCACCTTTGACAGTTTTTGGACCAGTCTTTGCACCTTTCCGATGCCCGCCCTGTGCAGTGGAAATAACACCCTGTAACTCCAGAGTTGTCTTGGGTATTAAATAAAATAACTCGTGCAAATTACTTGGTGCATAGTAGGCATTCAATAAATGTCAGGTCCCTTCTTATCCCAGTTAATAATGCTTATTAGACTATATTAAAAACCAGAACCAGACTGTGATAATGCATTTCTTTATTACGTATTTAAGCCAAATAACTTATTTCTCCCAGGGGGAAGGGAGAGAGACACGTTGAATTAGTTTCATTTCGTGAACTTATTTATTAGTCTTTTCTTCTTCAGCGTTATTTAGTTTCCTACTCCATAATTTAGTTTTCATGCAACAAAAATGTCACCGTTCCATGCTCTTGCACTCCGCTGCGATTTTTGAAAATCTGTTATTACACTTGCCACTGATTAGAGATCGTTGCTGATGACATCAGAGCTCGACGGTTGCAGGGCGACCTGGCGCTGGCGGACCTGTGCCTGCGCGGTTCCCAGAGGTCCGGGGATTTCAGACAGGCGGCTCCAAACGGCCACGTCACAGCCGGAGGAAAACGGAGCTCAGGGCCCCCACGCTTGGTGTTCTCGCGTGTTAATGGGACCCGCTCGCGTGGAAGTGAAGCCACGTCTTCCAGGGGACAGCACCTTCGAGAGGCGGTCGGGGACCCCGGGTGTTGTCTGCCGAGCCGGGACCAGGGTCTCCGGCACCTTTAAGGGCCGGTGCCCGGGCCTTGCTCAGCTTCCTTCCCGGCCCACCTCTGAACCCTGATTGACAGGGCGCCGGGGAGGAGGAGCCCAAGGAGGCCCGAGAGGAGGTGCTGGCAGGAAAGCAGGAAGGAGGGGCCGTCTTCCCTCCAGTGGCCAATCACGGAGGGGGGCGTGACCCGCCTTCTCTCGGAGGGCCAATCAACGGAGGGGGCGTGACCAGACCTCTCCTCCTTCCCCCGCTGTCCTCCGCCCCCCCACCCCTCCCCCTCCTTGCCCGCCTCCTCCCCCCTCCCCCCGCCCTCCTCCTCGGCTGTGGTTTTGTGTGTGCGCTTCTGGAGTCCGGAGCCCGAGCTAAACAAAAGCAGGAGCCGGCGGGGCTGCCGGAGTTTGCGGAGCCGGAGGAGGAGCGAGCCGCGCTGCGCCTGCCGGGCGGGGGGCTGGGGCTCGGGCTAGCCCACCCCTCGGCGGCCGTTCGGCCCGGTGGGGGCGGGGGAAAGTTTGCCTCGCCAGCCCCCTGCCTGGTGCTGCTTTCTCCCGACCCGAGCCTGTTTGCAAAGGGATTAAGCCGCCGATCCGCGCGCCGGAGCCCATTCCTGCCTTGTGAGGAGCCGGACCGCGCGCCCGGGGCCAGCTCCGATTTCTTCCGTCCAGGGGGAAGGGGGCTCGTTTTCCTCGCTTTTTGGGAGTCGACACCCTTCTCCCCGGCAGCCCGCCCCCGCGCCCCGCACCCCTCCACGCCCCCTCCCCCGCCCGCGCCCCATCCTCCCACCACCCTGCCAAGAGGGAGGCAAAGGGATTTTTTTCTTCGGCGCTTCTTCGCCTGCCCTGTTTATCCTGCCAAGGATCCGGAGACAGCCGGCCGGGTCGGAGCCCGCAGCTGCCCGGGGCCGCGCGCACGAGCCGGGGCCGGGCCGGGCGGCGTGGCGCGGACATGGACGAGCAGCCCAGGCTGATGCACGCCCACGCGGGGGTCGGCATGGCCGGGCACCCCGGCCTGTCCCAGCACTTGCAGGACGGCGCCGCGGGCGCCGAGGGGGAGGGCGGCAGGAAGCAGGACATCGGGGACATCCTCCAGCAGATCATGACCATCACGGACCAGAGTTTGGACGAGGCGCAGGCCAGGTGAGCGGCTGCCTTTTCTTCCCCTTTCTTGGGTGTTTTTGTTTTTCTCCCTCTCGCCGGGGGAAACAATGGGAAGCAAAGCCACACGGCGCTTTCTTTTAAAATGTTGTCTCGTTCCCCGTTCCGCCGAGCAACTCCATGGCGGAGCCGTGCGGGGGAAGGCGCGTGGCGGCCGCCGGCGGAGTCGCCCGGCCCGGCGGCCGTGCGGGGCGGGAGCGGGCGTGGGGACGCGGAGGCACGCGCCCGCGCCCACGCACACGCCCAGCTCGCGGAGCGCCGCCGCGGCTCCGCGGCCGCACTTTCGGCGGCTTTAAAAAAGTATCTCGGAGCTGCGTGGGCAAGTTGTCGGCAGATTCAGTGCCTTCTCCGCGAGGGGCCCGTGACACGACAAAATAAAATGTCCCAACAACACTTTCTCTGCAGGTTTATGGACCAGAGACTTTTGATTTTCTTCCCTGATTTTTTCCCCAAAAATTTATTTTTATCTCTCCTTTTTTCTATCCTCTTAAAAAAAAGGGCAGATTAATTCTTTGTCACTAGTTGTCAACTCTGCAGAAAATACTTTATACTCATTTAATTCTTTTCCCAAAAAAAGCCTATGGGAAAATAGAAAAGGCAATTTTGCTTTTTAGACATAGTTGTTAGTTTGAAGAGACTGTGATATTTAGTTTAACTTTATTGTCTCAATTTGAGTCTGTGGACTGACCTTCCATGGCACAGGGCGTGCGGTCGTTTAAAAAGGGGTGGGGGGCAAAAAGCAAGCATGCTTTTCCCCCCATGCCACTTTCAGGACCACTTAGAATGCAACGTGACAGAAATGAAGGCACATGTGAATTTTATATATTCCAGTCCTGGAGGGCATGACGATCAGAAAGGAAACATCATAAATAAGCCGTGTGGCTTCTCAACTTAACCCACTGCCAGGGATATAGTTCTCCACTCCAGGATTTTACCGTGAATTCTCTTTCAGAATAAAACACAGACTCACTGGGAAGCCACTAATAGCTTGCCCAAGGCCCATCTCGAAAGGAAGAATTTTTACAATGTCATGACCACGTACGTACGTGTTAGCAGTTACCCAGCTTTGTTAAGTCTCAGCAGGTTAACACACACTCAAACTCACACACACACACACACACACACACACACACACACACAATTGCTATACCTCGAGTGACTAGGTTATGTGGAAAAGGCATCGTTATATGTATTTTTGTCTTCAGGAAATTGGAATTTGAGTTGAGAAACTAGAAGGAACAGTTAAAAACATGGGCGGTTAGGATTTCCACTCCTATTTTAGTTGCTCACACATGCAACATGTAAACTTGGAAATGCTGAGGCTCACGGGGCTTTGAAAACTTGGGGATGTTCAAAGGCCAGACCTAGTCGATATTTCTTTAAATAGGGGAAAGTTTTCCAAAATTAGTCAGTGTTCTTTTAGAATTTTATTTTCTGAAGAAAAGCTAATAGGTAAGTGGAAGCTTTCCCACGGGCATTTCCCTCTCAGTCGGAACCGATTTCTCCATTCCATTGTTCCAGGAAGATAAACTCAGACCTGCCTGTAAGCTCCCTTAACAGTGAGTTTGTGAAATGGAAGGGACCGGGAGGGCTGGACATTCTCCACTTTCCTGATGTTCAGTCCCGCTCCGTTTTGTAAAACTGAGGACACCCGGGGCTTGGCGGGTTCCCTCTTTTACTGGCCTCTGTGCCGAGGCGTCAGGCACAACCGGGGCGCGGGGGTTCTGCTCTCTCTCTAACCCCACTGAGGTGCTGTGCAAACGCAGTATTTCAGTAAAGCCGTGTGGGCTTGCTTTTGTTTTTCTTTTTTCTTTCTTTCTTTTTTTACCTTTTTTTTTTTTGCAATTGGGCCTGTGTGTAAGAATACAATTAATGAAAACTGTTTTAAAAGGCTCTCCAAAGAGATCTTTGATACATTAAAGTCTTTCCCACTCTTTTTTTTTCTGCCCCACACAACTAAATGACCACTAGGCTTTCTCTTGGGTTCACAATGTAACTCCACTCGGCAAATGCTGGATCTGGTTTTCCTTTCATGGTTGCACCTTCATATGATATATTTATTATCTAAAAAATAAACCATGAGTATTTTAGATACAATGTATGTATTTGTTTGATAGTCTAAGCTGGTTCCTCTTTTGCTGTGGACTATACAGGGCATGCTCCGGTTTCTGTTCTTCAGGACGGGTGTCTATTTTTTTTTTTTTAAACTTTCAAAGGGATTAAAAAAGAATTGCATGCGTGTTCAGTGCCAGGGGCTTTCATTTCTCTTTACACGTTGATTTTAGTTAGCACACCGAGTTCCCTTAACTGAGAGCTGATACGATCAGCGTTTTGTTTCCAAAACAGTGTCTTTCTGCTAAGTGCTTCCACAGTCAGATGAAGAGAAAGGTATTGTCTTGTTCCTCACGCGCATTCTGAATGCCGAGCGCACAAGCACCAGGTAAATCACTAATCTAAGAGGCAGAATTGTATTTATTTTTCCCCCAATGGGTGCAAGGTCCTAATTGTAAATAATTGAATTTCAACACCTGCAAATAAGCGCTGTGTGCGCAGGAGGCATAATGTGAACACAGAGAAATGAATTTACTCCCCATATGGGTATGTCTGCCCCCTGGCAATGCATTTCCATACTCCTTAACTCGGGACGGAAATTTTATAAATTGCCAGTTCTGCTCAGAAGACCTTTCGAGCATCTTGTGTTTATGAGAATATGGGGAAATCTGCGGAATGAATTCGAGCACATGGACGGATTAAATTTGAAAACACATGCAGACCGAGAGGCAGGGCCGTTCCTAGGCTGTGGGGCGACATAGATTTTCTGAAACTGTTAACCCATGCGTTGGCTTCGCGCTTTCATTGCCCAGGACAGCATTGTTGGTTGGTTTCAGAATTCCACTTTGATTAAACTACTTAAAAAAAAAAATCCCGGCTCTGTCTAAATGGGCATAATTTAGGTTAGTGGAGTTCTGTAGCTACATCCCTGCTCCCCCTGCTAATTAACGTGATTCCTTTTCTGTGGCGGGGCTCTGTAGATTAAGCCATAAAACCGCCGAAGCGTGCCACAGAGTTACCTGTGGGGTGTCACCCTAGCGAGCTCTCAGCCTGTCCCCACTTTGCACCGTTAGCGCGGTCCTGGCGGCCACCTAAGCTGTGCTGTTGCTCCTTTCTTGCAGAAAACACGCTCTGAACTGCCACAGGATGAAGCCGGCCTTGTTCAACGTGCTGTGTGAGATCAAAGAGAAAACAGGTAGGACTGAGACTCCGGCGTCTCAGCCTTTTCTTTGGCCGATTGACTCACTTAAGCAGCAATCAGGGGCCCATCATTTAAATATTAAAATTGCAGAATGGAAGTACTCTCAGGATTGATCGCGGCTCCAATGGGGCGTCCTGGGCCCTGCCTCCTGCAGGAGGGGCGCCAAGTTTCTTGGACAGTTGCTGTCAGGCCTGCTGCTTCACTGTCCTTCACCCCGTCCCCAGCGTCCTGGACACTGGGGCTGACCTAGAGGTTCTGAAGGGGAGTTTGTAGAACGACGTGCCTTTTGGGGTAAATGTGAAAGTAAACGTCCATTTCCTGGAGGGATGCATCTTGGCCCATATTTCAAACACTCATTTGGGGGGAGTCGTTTAAAGTTCCTTTCTGTCTGGCCGTCACGCGGAGCGGCAGCACCCAGAGGCTCGCACCAGGGCCTGGAGAGCGGCCGCCTGTGCCGCAGCAGGCTCTGGCCGGGGGAGGGCCCGCAGCCTCCCAGCAGGGCCCTGGCTGGGCTGGGGAGCGCAGACACCGTGAGATGAGTCCTGTGATGTGCTCTGCTTTCCAGGCCTCCTGGCAGGGACTGTCACACTCGCGACATCCCAGGGGGGCATTTAGATCCTAAAGCCATGATTAAAAAAGAGCAGTCGTCAGCCGGTGTTCCCAGACCACGGAGGATCTGGGAAGGACACTCAGCAATGTCCTCTCGTTTGTTTATTTTAATCCCTAATTTCCCAGAGTGGGTGACTCTCTCCCTCCTACGAAGACAGAGTATAGGGGCCGGCGGGAAAGCCGGGTAGAAAGATGAAGACCGAGGGCTGGTTACGTGGAGGTGAGCGGCCGCCGGCTCTCAGCTGGCGGAGTACCTGACAGCCGAGTTATTTATTTATTTTCTACAACAAGGAGTGCAACAGTCAATAATTCATATCTAAGCCGTATAAGCAAGGGCACGACATGGATGAAAGTGACAATAAATATGATTGCACGCCTGGTTGACATACATTGATAGTCACACATGCAGGGGGTGGGGGGCACTCAGGGTGGCTTTCTGTCCGAGGGCGCTCTGGCTTTCTCTTTTAAAAAATAAATAGTTTCAAGATGTGACCGCTTGATGGACTATGTAATTACTTGGGGCTTGAACTGTATGAGAAATTAGCGAGCAGCTTCTTTGTTGGGCGTTCTCGGCGCTGCACGCAGGGCCCGGACAAAAGCACCTGAGCAGCGGCGTCTGGACCTCGGGTCGCCCGCCGGCCGACCCCACTCCCAGCAGAGCTGCGGTGGCCGGGCCGGCGGTGAGGCCCCTCTGCAGGGGCTCAGGGCTGTGCTTGCCCGTGTCCAGGGCCCTCTCAGTCCGTCACACTTGTCGTTCTCCTGTTCGCTTGCAGCAGGAAACCTAAGGGCACACACATGGTTTTTCTTCTCTTTTTCCTTCCTTTTCATTTTCTTTCTTCGTCGTCATCGTCTTTTTTTATATCTTAATTTTTTTTTTACTGTAAATATTTGGTTTGGTGAACTGTGTGTCTAATCTTGTGTGTGTTCTGCTTCTGATCTTGATTCATAAAATGTGGAATGAAGATATAAAAGCGTGTTTGATAGTCCAGGCTAGAGAGACTCCGTGAGGGCACTTCATCGGGTTTTTACTGAAAGGAAGCCCATCAGGGCACTTAACTGTATGTGGTGGCCACAGTGTTTAATCCAGGCTTCTAATTAAAACCCACAGAGGCCGTGGACTGAAGTGGGGGGGTCCGAGCAGAGTCTGGTTCCGGTGGGGGCCGGGGAGCGCGTTGCTCCTTCATGTTAGCTAAGCTCGTTGGTAGGGGCAGCTGTGTTAGTCAGAATATGCTCCAAAGGTGTGATTTATTGTCGGGCGTATATATATTTTGTTCTAAAAAAACTTCTTGTCATTTATTGACATTCATATTTGGAGATTTTTAAAAATCTAAGTCAAGGGTTTATGTGTTGTCTCTAGAAAAATATATTTTTAAAAATACCTTGTCAAGCACTGTAAATTGAAAATGATTAGCATCACTGTCCTGGGTTAGGGGAAATGCACGCGCACACACGCACAGAGTTTTGGACCGAGAGGGCTTCCATGGGTGGAAGTTAAAAAATAAGAAAATAAAAAAGGCCTCCCTCCCTCTGGTTTTCCACTTGTGTGTGGCGAGGACTGGGCGCAGCAGAAGCCTCTCCTAGAAGGCCGCGCGTCCGCGGGACAGGTGGCCGCCTGGGCGCTGCGCTGGTGCCGGAGCACAGCCACCTCACCCCGGGCCCTGCCTGCACGTCCTCGTGCTCTGGGTGGGTCGCAGGCGCCAACTGTAAACTTGCAGGGGTCGCAGTCCAGAGCCACGGAGAGTGACACGCGTGCCGTCCCTGTGCCGCCTCCTTTGAGCCCCCTTGCGCTTCAGGAGGGTTTCTGAGCCGCCGTCCCGGGCGTCTGCAGCGCCTCGGTTTAGGGTGGGCTCTGTCATCTCGCCAGGTTCACAGCCTGGCTCACCTGCGCAGGTGGACCTCGGAGCAGCAGGCAGTGCACTCATTTGCTCTTTTGCTTTTGGAATGACTTTCGCTGGGAAACTCAGCGAAGATTCTTACTGACCTTCGAGAAGTTTAAGACAAACAGGTGCACAACACCCAAAGTAGGCGGCAGCGGCCCCGTTACAGTCGATTGATAGGTATTTAAGTCAGAAGTTACTGTGGGGATGTTACCAAAAAATGTGTCCTCTTGCCTCAGGGTGTGGGGCAAGTTTTTGCTTTGATACCTTTCTGCTTTTTAAATAAATGCCAAGAGGAAAGAATGCCAGCAAAGCGCTCAGCAGACAGGTCTCGGGCGACAGCAGGGAGGTCCTGTCTAGATGGCCGGCGCGATGAGCGTTTCCAAAATGGCTCCTATCTGTGCCCCTCTGGGACGGGGAGGTTCCACGGAGTTCTGGGCCAGGTGCTGTCGCTTGTCCTTCGGTTTCCGGAAACGACCTCTGTCTTCTGACATTTCCCCCGTGTGCGTGTGTGTGCGCGTGTGTGTGCCAGTGGCGGTGGACGGGCTGGCCGAGGAGAAGGAAGTCCAATATCACATTCCATACAAAGACCTTGATTACTTTAAAAAACACCTCTTGGTTTTCCTTTTTAAATTCTGTGTCAAAACGGTGCAGGGTTAACTGTTAGGAAAACAAAAAGACTGAGCGCCACTCACTCCGGAGGCTGCTGCGGGCGGCGTCCTGTCCCAGCCAGTTCCTGCACCGCCGTGAAGGCAGGGCACTGAAAGAGTTAAAAATTAGTTTTTGCTTCCCTTACACTCTTTTTGTTCTCTGCCCTTTGTTCTCGGTGCTCGGTGAGCACTCCCGTCAGAGACCTGTGTGTTCACCAGTCCACTGCCGCACTTCACCGTGACACCTTCCGCCCTCGCCTGCCACGGCTCCTCACTGCAGCAGTTACTTATGGGGCGTCTGCCCTTCTGCTTCCAGCCTTGGAGCACCAGTTGTGCGTGTGCAAATGGGCACGCACATGTGTGTGTGTGTTCGTGTGGGTGGGGTCCTGGAGGGAAGCGTGCGCGGCAGGGAAGGGGCTCTGATGGTTTGAGGCCGTGAGCACAGAACCAGCGCCAAGTCACTTAGACGGTTGCGAGCTGCCTCTCATCAGACGCCTTGTGGAGGAGAGATGGCCGAAGTGGCTTTCCACAGAAGTTTGGAGCAGAATTCAAGTGCGTGTGTGTGCACACATATGTGTGTGTCCCTCCTCCCCCCCAGGGTCGGAGAGAGACAGAAGAGGGGCAGATGCAGGGCAGGGAGCGTCTTGCTGGCTTCACCGGGCACCGCGTTTGACGCACAGCCGTGAGCTGGGCAGAAGTAACGTGATCAGGCCATAAACTATTTATCGTCGTGTGGACGTAAAGCATGGCGCTCCTCTTGAAAAGTGCCCCTTCTCTCCATCACCCTGGTATCATCTATTTTTCATCAAGTTCTGGCGTCGGAGAGGTGGGGAGGCGGGTGCACAGAGGGCACGGGTCAGACCTGCCCAAACAGGACTCGTGGGAACCGGGTGTCCTGTCTTCTAACAAAGGGAGTGTTTGCGAGGGTTGGCACCAGGAGAGCGCTGGTCGGAGGGGGGCTGGTGACCTGGGAAGCGCTGTGCTGGGGCTGGAGGAGGAATGGGGGGGCTCAGCGGTGGGCGGCAGGGGCTGGGGGCACGGTGCTGCGTGCAGCGCACCGCCGGGGCCAGGCCTCTCACCCAGGGTGGCCCAGCGCCCCGCTGACACACGAATTTCTGGTTGCCGCTGCTGGCAGATTATAAAAGGTGCTTCGAGTGAGCGAACTTAGCTGTTGGACGTGCAGGGTCCAGCAGAAGTAACGGCCTTGAGTGAGGGGGGTCGGGTCTGTGAACGTCTCACAGGAGATGGACAGCAGTTTGATCATGTCACCGGGAATGTCACATGGTGAGCTTGAGTGTGGCACTGTGTTACAGAGTTACACACTTACAATTTTGTAATAAAAGGTTTTTGTGTAATAAAAAGAGGTGTTAACTTGCGCCCGACCCTGTGTTTCATTCTCGCTGAGAGCCTGACCCCAGCTGCTCCTGAGAGACCGTCCTCTGCGCGCCTGTTCGGGGCGCTCGGCCTTCCTGCTGGGTTCAGGTCACTGGAGCACGCACACGGCTTCGGGTTCACCTCCGGGAAGTGCATCTAAATATAGCTGCGTCCCTTTTCCTTTTCGTGAATTTTTCTTCCTCACACGCCACCTGATGAGGTGGTGTCCCAGCCCAGCTCCCAGAGGCAGCTGCAACTCATTTGCACGTGACCCTGCCGCCCACCATCCGTGGTTTAGCCTGGGCCGCGGGAGGAGCCATGTCATGCCGGCCCCACCCCGGGGTGTGTGGTGTAAGGAATGCACTGATTGATAAATAAAATAAGTGGCAGATTAATGAGTTGTTTGCAAAGTGCTTTGCACTCTTTGGGCTGTATAAATAAAAGATGCTGTAGGTTCTATAATCAATTATCTCAGGGCTCGTAT